TCCCCGGCTTCTTTAAGAGGGTGGCACCGACTCATGCAGGGGATAGACGCGGCGGGTACCGGCTGCGTGTCCTCGGCGCTGGTCCCGGGCTCCCACCGTCCCGGTCTTGTGAGCTCCGCGTGCACACACCCTGGCTTTCACAAGACCTGGGAGAGCGGGCCAGGCAGGCCTGCGCCGCCGACTCAGCGAGCCCGGCCCCTTCGCCATCCCCTGCATGAGTCGGTGCCACCCTCTTAAAGAAGCCGGGGAAGGAGAGGACCGTCCCCATCACGGAGTACTAGCAAGACTGGAGGCGTGGTCATCATTTGCCACTTAACGAGTGAGGGGAGACCCAGGCAGAAAGACTACAGATCAAATATCTTATTCCAAGCCTTCGTGGGTTATGATCCCTGGGGTTCTGTAAGATCAGTTTAGAAGAACGGGCCTATCGTTCTATTTTTTTAAAAAAGAGTATGTAGTAGAAAAACAATCTCAGAATTCAAGTCAAAAAGGAATTTTAAGGAAAAAAATATTTTTTGTTGATATGCTCAAGGAATGGCGATTTAAAAAATGTATATTTATCTTAGGTCTGGTCAAAGAAAGTTTAAGAAACGCTGTTCTTTGCAAAGGGACATTCAGAAATAACAATCGTGCGTTGTCTTAATGCTGGCCTTACTCCCAGAAGCAGAAGGGCTTCACAGACTACAGCATTCTTCTCCTGCCCCAACCCTATCATGCAGGAATTGTTATCCCTAGCCTTCAGTCTATCCCATGCACAATAACTTAATGAATGGCTGTTCTCAGTCCTGGAAACAAGTGTCGCCCATAAAGGAAGCTTATAAAGCCTCACACAGTACATACACGTTTAAAAGTTGCCTACACGTTAAAGTAACCAATGAAACAGTGGTGCCCTAGGTGCCCTCTATGTGGGTGGGTGGTTATTTAAAAGGTTATGAGAATGGCAAAGACCAGAGACCGTGGCGTGTGCTGTGTGCAGGTGCTCAATCAGTCAAAATCTAAATTACGCGAAAGTAGAGCCTCTACCAAATCCTCCATATGCCATCGTGTATTTCCCATTACCCTGGGAATCACTTAAGTAATTAGGTATGCCCGGCGCAGAGAAAGCATGTATGAACAATCAATCCCTTATTCTCCAGAGGCTGGTACAGAAGAAAAACATGAAGGAAAATATGGATGAGTTAAATGTCACGTTGGGAAAGTGAACTAGTGCTGTGAGAATACCAATAAGAAAACTCAGAATTTTTCTAGAACTTTTAATTAAGGTTTGACAAAGACAAAAAAAAAATGATTCCAAAGTTACGCCCTAAGGCCAGAGGAGCCTCATAGCCCATGGGAAGGGGGCGGTGCTAGTTTACTAGTAAAGCCCAGTATAGTGTGAAAGCTTTGGGAACCTAGGGAGAAAAATGAGTTTGTAATAATGAAAGAAGTGTTTCCAAAACTAATTGAAAGCATCATCTATGAGAAAATAGATTTCAAAACATTCAAAAAACATAACAAAAAAAGAATTCACAAACAAGATAGTCTACAAAATACCCTTGCTCAAGAAACATAGAAGAGTCTTAAGGGGCAGGGAAGGAGAGGAGGGAGAGAAGGAGGGAGGGAGGGAGGGAGGGAGGGAGGGAGGGAGGGAGGGAGGAAAGCAGGAAAATTATACAAGCTGCAATGTTTTCTAGTTGTTGATGTGCCCATCTGATAAAAACCACTGAGGGTTAGTCCAACAAGTTAGCTTTACCAAGCTGATGCAAAAAGGAACACTGCACAGCCGAAGAACTGTGGTCCTGATCCCCCCAAAAAAGGACGAAGTAATTTCTACCCTTAGTATAAAATCTAAATGAAGTAATGCTTGAGAGGCTCAAAGCAAACCAGATCTACTTCCAATATAAAACTTGAGTTGAAAAGTAGACTCCAGCACCCGTTTCTTTTGAAACATACATTTTCCATCAGCGCAGAGTCAACCCCTTGTCTCTAAACGTTGCAGTTTTAGTTTGGGTTTCAATCGCTTCAATGAAACACCATGACCAAAAAGCAAGTTGAGGAAAGGATTTATTTGACTTTCATGTTTGCACCATAATCCTTCATTGAAGGAAGTCAGGCTAGGACCTGAAACAGGCAGGAACCTGGAGCAGGAGCGGATGCAGAGGCCATGGAGGAGTGCTGCTTCCTGGCTTGCTCACCCCTGGCTTGCCATAAATATAAGAAAGAGAAAATAGAAGTTTATTAAGCAGTCTCCAGCTTTAAGTCTCCTGAGCTTTAAAGAATTTGGGCTACTGCAAATGGGAGATAGGGGGCGTAGAGTTGGAGAATCAAGAAAGCCTCCTGAAAAACATGCGCAGCCAACTCTCACGATTGTTCCCTGAGCTTTGCTTTGTGGTGTCCTCACCTTTGTCTCTCTTTACGTCAGAGCTGGTCCGAAGGCTAGCCTGATGGTATGTGACTCTGGACTGAGATCCCAGTGAGCATCATGACTTTTGCCTTGATATCCTGACTGTTTTCCATAGAGCAGTGGTTCTCAGCCTGTGGGTCGTGACCCCTCGGGGTCCCATATCAGATAATTACATTATGATTCATAACAGTACTAAAACTACAGTTATGAAGTAGCAACAAAATAATTTTATGGTTGGGGTTGCCACAACATGAGGAACTGTTTTAAAGGGTTACAACATTTAGGAAGGTTGAAACCACTGCTCTAGCGGAAGCCAACTGCCACGGAGAATTCTCTAGGAGCCACAGAGAAGCCAGCACCAGTGTGACAGTCACTAGAAACGGACCTCTCCCTGCAGCCAAACCTTCAGCAAACCACAATCTCGTGAATGATTCCATGCTACAACTCAACTAAGACGCTCCTAAACTCCTGACTCACAGAAGCTGTGGGAAATTATTCATGTTTAAATTTAGTGTTTAAGACGCTAAATTTGGAGTGTGATCTTTTTGCAACTGATTGATTTGGGTCAACCCTTTTTTGAAAAAAAAAAAACTGGGACATTTAGAAGAGATAATGGGATCAAAGTCGCAGAAACAAGAATAAAGCAGATGGGGGAAGACTGTGAGGGCCAAGTTGAAGGAGGGGTGTGGACCGAGCGGAAAGGTTGAAATGTTATTGTAGATTGGGGAAAGGCGAAAGTGCGCAGTTCAAAGGTGTGATTTAGTCTGTATGCAAGGATGAGTGTTGTGTACCTCATGTGGAAGTTTAGGGGAAGAGTAGTGCCTTGGCTTTGCTTTAGGGTAGAGAACATGTTTATGGAGCGTGAAGGTTGGACTGAAGGAGGACATATGAGCTAAGAGACCAGTTTACACCCTTGGGTGAACACATCGAGGTAAAAAGGTAAGGAATGAGAACTGAGTCGAGGCAGCACCAAGCAAATAGCAAGAGAAGGATTCTGTGTGTTTGATTTGGGGGGGGGGGGGTAGGTGATTAATTAATTAATTAATGTTAATTAGCAGGAAGAAAACTTTTTAATTGGCTGTGCTATCTCCTGGTTGACAGGATAGTATTTACTCAAAAACACAGAAGTGATGCACACTTGTTATGCAGGAGAATGAGATGCAAAGGCGCAAACCCCTTACTGTTTTCTCACCACCAGGATAAACTCCAGGATCCTCAACACCTGCATGAAGCCAGTTGCAAGAGAAGCTCTGCCTGCTTTTCCCAACCTCCCACCACTGCAGGAAGTAAGAGGACACCCCAGTCGCTTCCTCCCTGAATCCTGGACCGCACTGTTCTCTCTGCCTTAGATATCAGATACTTTCTCCCTTCATATCCCTATTTCCAACTCAGTTCATCCCACAAGATGAAGGGCCCTTTTCCAGCTTCCGGTGGGATCCTTTCAGTCATCCCAAGCCTCAATTTCAAGTTTTGACAAAAAGTCATGAAGCCCTCCACCAGCGAAGGCGAGGATGCCTAAAGCCTGTTCTCCAAATAGGAGAACGAGAAGAAGAAAATGTTTAATTGATATCTCAAGAAGTTATCTTGTGAGTCATGCATTGAGAACACACCTAAAAGTCAATAAAACAGCCCTGCCCTATTGTGATTAGCAATGTGAACAAGACGACAATTACAAAGGAAATGTAACCAAAGCTGTGCTGGATCAGATTCATGTCAGACTGTATGTGGATCTGCAAGAGGAAGAAACTAATCCGGGCTAGGGACTTGCAAAGAGACAAATGCACGCTGCCAGATGTTCGCTGTAATCTTTGCCTTACTTTCTCTTCACCGTGCCTGCCTGCCCTTGCATGTTCAGTTCCTTGCATTTGTGGTCTAGGTCGGGCGCAGAGCAAGCTGAAGTTAGTCTTCGTGTTCAATCCAGCAACCCAGTGTCCAGGCACCTGTCTAGATGACCCAACCAAACACTCCTTATAGATAACACTCAGCTTAACTTACTCTTTAGTTCAACATCACCATCCTCTTTTGAAGGCCCAGATTGCTAGAGTGAACTCACCTATGGTTGAATTCTTCCCTGAGCTAGGTCAGGTCTCCTTCCTAGAAACAGAACCTGGCACAGTACCCTCCTCAGGCTGAAATCTTGCTCTGCCATCTTCATTAGACATGGACCCACCATCTGATGCCCACGTTCTCCACCACTACTGACCAGAATGGATAACTGCCTAATTGGAGACAGAGTCTCATATATTTTAGGCTAGCCTTTAACTCACTGTGTAGCTGGGGATGACCTTGAACCTCTGACGCTCCTGCTTCTAAATACTGGAATTATAGGCTTGCACACCATGCTCAATGCAGTGCTGAGGATCAATCAGGGTTTCTTGAATGTTAAGAAAACACTTAGCTACATCCCCAGCCTAGAATAAGTAAATAATGACACAAGGTAGTTTTAAAGTAAAGTTCATACAAAATCCAGTGCACTCTTTATTATTTTCACTTTTATAATTTTTTAAAAGTGTAAAACCATAATTTAGCCAATATTATTACGTTATAGCAATACATTTGAAATAAGAAACATATAAATTGTCTTACATTGCAATATGTATATGCATTAACTCATATCAAACTATCTGCTTTATCTAGGTTATAAAATGTGTTAAAGACCTATTAGTGGTTACTGTCTTGAGGGAGAAAAGACAGAATTCCACAGCAGAATCAGAAGGCAAAGAACACCTGAGGATGAGTGTGGTAGCAGAGCTGGTAGCAGCTCACGGTCTTATTATATTTTGATTCAGGTGCTATATTGATGATTTATAAAGTTAAAGAAATC